TCCTCTTCTGGGCAGGGCTGGATCCCTCCGCAGCCCCATAATGGTAGCTGGTAGCCTAGGTGCACCGTATGTTACTGGGGAGACAAAACAGGACATCTCTTTATATTTCCTAGTCACAGAAATTCCAGCTTTTTAAATTGTCTAGGTGGGCAATATTGGGATGCTTCTAATTTTGGTAGGTAGACTAATTACATTTAGAACGTGGCTTTCCAATGTCATTTTGCAACATCGTTTTTAGAGTTAGAGCTTTTACAAGCGGCAAATCCTCTACCTCGTTTCTCTGATTCATTGTGATGGAAATGTCTCATGACACTAATAGGTGTTCTGAGAAACATTTCAACATGGAAATTTCAGCGAAGTACATATTTCGGAATGATATGCATGGCTCTTTCTTCCTCTTACTTCTGTCATTTCTCCCAACTAAATTTTATTTTCTTCTTCAAAAAACAACCAACAATGCTCTCGTTTCTCCCTCCCCTCCCCTCCCCTTTCTCTCTCTCTCCTCTTTCTCTCTCCCTCTCCCCTAGCAAGTCAGGTAGAAGTGTGGTTGCATGTATGACATTTGAAAAAAATTAGTTGAAAAATGTTGCAAAATTTCGACCTAACCTTGTGAAAATTAAATGAACGAATATATAGTAATTGGCACAAAGCCTGGTGTGAGGAAGATGCTCTGTGTTGATTATTACTACTCGGAGAGATACTATTATTTCTCCCAGTTTAGAGCTAGTAAGTGTTGGAGTCAGTGTTTAAACCATGTAATGAATTATTGAACCTACTCCACCATCCAGGGTTTAGAGTTGTTAAAATGTGTAACAAGATGAAGTTAGGTTGTCTATACCACGAGATTCTACTATATTGTACCATACAGCAAGAAAGAAAGATAATAAAGTGGAGAAAAATGTCTTTGATAATGTTTTTCTCAAAGGATCAATATCATTGTATATATAATCTGATTTTAAAAGCTTTACTCTGGGCCCTATCTGGACATTTAATAGGATGACTAAGACTTACGAGTATTCCCTCACTTATGTCTAAGAAATATACCAGGAACCATTCATAAATTGTTTATTTCTTCTTATTTTTTTTTTAAATCCTCACCTGAGGATATTTTTCCATTTATCTTAAGATAGAGTGGGAGGGAGAGAGAGATATGAACATCATTGGTTGCCTCCCGCACGACCCCGACTAGGGCCAGGGACTAAACCAAAACCAAGGTACATGCCCTTGACCGGAATCGAACTCGCTACTCTTTGGTCCCTGGGCCAACACTCTAACTGCTGAGCCAAACCAGCCAGGGCTGTTTATTTATTCTTAAGGGCATAGGGTTGAAAGACACCTCTAAGATTCATTTCGGGTGTTCTCTGATTTCTGGCAGGACTGTGACTAAACCATTCCTTGATCGATGTATTAACTCAATATCTAAAATATGCAAAAAAAGAAATTACACAACTTTTATTTGCATTAACTCTTTTTTGTGTTTTATAACTCTGTTGGAAAACGTTCAATTTCCTTAAGAGTATAGGCTTCTAACACAGTGGTATCATTAGCCTCATCAAGGCAATTGCAAGTTAAATGCAATGAATTAGCCTAAAGAATAGAGAATTTATTAATCTTCAAATCTTATAGATAATGCTTGGAATATAACATTACAAATTTATTGATGCCAAATAAATACTTATTAAATTGAATTAAACTGAAAAGCAGAGGGAAGGTTGTTGGAATATCGGAGTGCATTATGGACGAGAGCAGTGATTTTTAGCCATGGTAGGCACACTGGTGTGCTGCAGGAATTTAAAAAAACATGCAATACCTGACTATTTAGTCAGGGCCACTGACCTCTTTTTCCTCAGACTCTCAAATTAAGAAATGACAACAGCCAACACAAGAATAGCCATCTGGTGTGAATGAATCAAAATTTTATCTATTTTTTTGTGTGCCACAAGATGAAGACAGTTGAAAGTTATTGGACTAGAGGTTTCATTGCTGTGTCTTTCTCATTTTCTGAAACCAACACTTAAATTACATTTTTTAAAAATGATGTGAAACAAGAAAAATGCTGACTTTTTATGAAGTTCTTTCAAGTATTCATTCAGCAAATATTTATTGAACACCATGTGCTAGGCACTGTCCCAGGTTCTGAATATTTTATTTTAATTAATTAATTAATTTTTGTAGTTACAGATGTCCTTCCTTTTTTCCCCATTGACAATCCTCCTCCCTGCTCCCGTTCCTCCCCCAACCTCACCTTATTTGTTGTCTGTGTCCTTTGGTTATGCATACATGCATATACGTTCTTTGGCTTATCTCTTCCCACCCTCCCTCTGAGGTTTGTCAGTCTGTTTCCTACTTCTATGTCTCTGGGTCTGTTTTGCTCATCAGCTTATTTTCTTCATCATATTCCACAAATTGAACGTATTGGGATGACATTGGTTCACAAAACCATACTGGTTTCAGGTGTACAACTCAATAAAGCATCATCTGCACATGGCATCATGCACCCATTAGCCCAACCAAAGACTCTTTCCATCCTCATTTTCTTCCCCTTTGCCCAACTCCACCTATCCCCCAACTCTCCTTTCCCTCTGGCTATCACACTGTTTTCTGTGTCTGCATATTGGGTATATATGTTTTTTGGCTGATCCCTTCACCTTCTTTCATCTGGTTCCCCCACCACATCCTCCTGACATCTGTCCATCAGTTCCATGTATCCATGCCTCTGTTTCTATTTTGTGTGTCAGTTTATTTTGGTCATTAGATCTCACCATAAGTGAGATCATATGGTATTTGTCTTTCTTTGACTGGCTTGTTTCACTTAGTATAGTAATCTCCAGGTCAATCCATGCTGTCTTTTATCCAAGATAAGATTTCCTTCTTTTTTTATGGCTGCTTAGTATTCCGTTGTGTAAATGCACCATAGCTTTTTTATCCACTCATCTACTGATGGATACTTGGGCTGTTTCCAGATCTTGGCAATTGTAAATAACACTGCTATGAACATGAATACTATGTTTTAAACAACAGCACGTAATAGTGAGAACCTCAGTTGATTCCAAACCAACTAAAAGTTCTTAATGTGAGAGTTTAATGAGTTGTTGCTCAGTTTGCTATGAACACTTCACTGAATGTGGTTACTTTTTTTTTTTTTTAATACCACTAATTGTATAATGTCAACTCTCTTAACACCACCATTAAATAACCTGCACCTTCCCTCACAGAACCTTAAAGTTATGGAGTAATAGTGAATGAAGAAACACAGTGTGGCTGCTAGAAAGAATTAATAGACTAGTAATTCAGAAACTAGGCTATGAAGTGATGTTACTTCTGTCAAGTCACTAAATTCTGCAGAATCAGTTTCCTTATATATAAAATAAAATGGTTTAGAAAAATGCTAAAGCAAAGCTCCTTTTAAGTCTGATATTCTATAATTTTAATTAATTAAGATCTAATTAGTTCTAAATTCTAGAAGGAAGATAAACTCTATATTATTAGTTTGGGCTCAATTCTCATTAGTGATGCAAAAATTTCCCTTGTTGTGACACCAATACATGGATTATATACATATACATAAATATGTATGTATAATAATTATTTTTAAAGCAGTCACCAAAAATACCATCTTACAGGTTTTGCCATGTATACTTGATTTAGCTACAGTGTGAATTTCACCTCCCTTTGCACGCTTTCTTTACAGATGGCAGAGCTGTTGAAAAAGGATGGAGTTGGGGGTGGTGGCCGCTAGTGCATATTTATGTTATGGCCAAACTTAATTTTTATTTTTCAAGTTTTAACTTTTAAGGTTTCAAACTTCAAGGAGTTGTTTAGTTTGTTATAGTTGGATTTTATGTAGCTCCTCTGGACATAAAGAAAGGCACTAAACAATGGGAAGAAAATTTAGGTCCTAGGGGAGAACAGCAACAAAAACTTTTTTTTTTTGCAATCTAGATTAAAAAAAAAAAAAATACTGCAGTTAGATCAGGGAATGGCAATGAATAGGACACCAGTGAGCCCTATGTCAATAAGTATTTGGGAACCTGGAACCACAGAAGGCCCAAGTTCTTGTTGTGGGAAGGACTGGATGAATGAGAAAGGGGTCTGTTTTATTAGCTTTAAAATATATTTTGCAGGTAGTGACCTAGCTAAGTCACCTGACTCAAAAAAAAACAACAAAAAAACCCTCAATTAATAAATCTAAAATGTTTAGATTATTTACATCTTTCAAAAAAAGATGCAAGCATCTGTATCAAAAGTATTTTATTCGAAACCAAAGATCTGAACTACCATCGCACAAAGTTTAGTACCCCTTGTTCCACCCATGATAGGTTAGGGTTGCCCTTCAGGCTTGGGCTTCAGCACCACTGGGCACCCAACGCTCACAGAGCGCCTCGGTCACAGGCTCCCGCCCTCCCAGGGCGCGCGCTCGGGATCTGGGGGCGGAGAGGCTGTGGAGGTGGCTCCCTTGGAGCATCCAATCAGCAGCGAAGCCCGGCGGTGGCGCTAGTGACGTAGGCTGCGCTTCCCTCCGCCCCACTGCGGCCGACTCTCGGCGCTGTCAGCCTCGCGATCTCCGCGCGCGGGGACGGGGAGAAGGAGGACTTTGAGGCCGGCTGGGTGTCGGAGGGCGGCGGGTCGCGGGAAGGGGGAGAGTGAGCATGCGCAGCGGCTCCGGTAAAGGCAGGGAGGAGGGGACCCGTGCGCGCGCGCACGAGCGGCCCGCGGGCAGCCGCGGGTGGAGGGGGCGGTTCCTCGAGTGTCGGCGGCCGGAGGGTGGGCAGGCTGGTGGCAGGTGCCACCGAGGGCACCGCCGCAGCCTCCTCCGGGTCCCGGGTCTTCTAGTCCTCCGGCGGTGATGAGCTGGTCTCCGTCGGGGGCTGCACCTGCCGGCTGCCCATCACTCCGAGCCTCCCGGCGTGACCTCGGCCTCCTAGCGTGCCCGATCCCCGCGGCGCGGTGCTGCCCCTGAGGGGGAGCGGCAGCGGCCTCCTCCGCACCGCGTCCTCGCTTGGGGGCCGCGCGGGAAGAGCGCCCGGCCCCCTCCCCTCCCCCGTCCGCTGTCCTCAATGTCTCCCCGGCGGGGAGGGGGCTGCCTGGGAGACGCGCTGAGCGGCACCCCCCGGAGGCCCGTCGGCCGCAGCAGCAGCGCCCAGCCCGGCGCCCCGCAGCCTTGCCCGGCGGCGGCGGCGGCCTGGAGGAGCCGCGCACCCGCCGCCGCCCCCGGAGCCTCGCAGCCGCCGCCGCCACCCGGCACCCGAGAAGAGGGCGGCGGGCGCCCCCCGGGGAAGATGAAGGCGGAGGGGGGTGACCACTCCATGATCAACCTGTCGGTGCAGCAGGTCCTGAGTCTCTGGGCCCACGGGACGGTGCTGAGGAACCTCACGGGTAATTGATGCGCCCGGGGTGGGGATGGGGGATGCGGTGCCACCCCTTGCCTCCATCCTCCCTCCAGAGCAGGGGAAGTGCTCCTGGCGGCCCCATCCCTGTGTGCGCCCGCTTGGGAGTTCGCGGTCCCAGATCCTGGCGAGGAAGGTGTTAATTGGATCCACTCCGCGCGGGTTCCAGGGGCGCTGACGCCCCCTCCCCTTTCACCCGGCACTCAAAGGCTTCTGAATTGTGGGGTGAGGGTGGGGGTGGAGGTGAGAATCCACGACCCTCACCACCTGCCTGGCAGGGGGAGGGCCCCACGGCCCTGCCTTCTGTAGTACGCGCGGAATAGCCTGGGTGCTGAGACTTGAGCACAGTTAGCTTTTATTTATCCCCCGCTTCCCCCACGCGCGCACACACTCATACACACACACAGCTCGCTTTTTACTGTTTAGATCTTTTTCTGTTTAGCTCTTTTTCTTTCTGGAAAATCTCAAGCTAAATGCACGACTTAAATTTCCTGCTCACCATCAATTTGCTTCAATTGTTAATTTTTGTTTTTTGGAAATAGGGATGACAGGTAGATTATAGTGGGTCAGCGGCTGGGCCAAGGTCTAGTGCATTCTAAGCATTTTAGTTTTAATCGTGCATCTCCTCCCTCTCCTATTTCCTTTTGTCTGTCTCTCCCTCTGACTTAAAGCTGCTGCTTCTGTGACATTTGATAATTTTGTGTATTTCCTTTCATTTGCAAGGCTATCAGGAGAGAATTGGACTTAACTACATTATAATAATTAACATCAATTTATAGTTGTAAAAATGAGCAATAGTGCTCATATTTTTATCGAATGTTTTAGGTTTGCTTTGTGAAGAAACTTATGCTTTTGTTATTGTGGAAATGCTTATATTACCATACTCTGAGTCGGATTAGTGTTTACAAGAAAAAGATTATTTTGCAATTTGATGACTCCTTAGTGCCTGATCCTCTGAGAAAAAACTTAAAAACATACTCAGGATTTGATTCTTGAAAATGTATAAGGCAGCTAATTTTGATAGAACATTAGTATTTCAAAATGTATTATGGCAAACTATATACTACAAATATAACCTGTCTTGACAGGATACATACATGTATGTGTGTATGTATATACATATATGTGTGTGTGTGTGTGTGTATAGTATTTCAAAACCTGGTATGATATGGAATTCAGATATTCATAGAGACTATTAAAAAAACTATATACCACTGTCTGGTACACTGGTTTCCTCCTTGTATGTGGAAACTATATGGAAATATGTTTTCATTTTTATTTTTTAGAGAGAGAGGAAGGGAGAGAGAGAGAGAGAAATATCTGTGTGAGAACCATGGTTTGGCTGTTTTCTGTATGCCCCCTATTGGGGATCCAGCCGGCAACCTGGGCATGAGCCCTGACTAGCAATGGAACTGGGACCTCTCAGTCCATGGGACAACACTCAATCCACTGAGCCACACTGGCTGGGCAAATGTGGAAACTATAAAATTAACGTAGATTCTGGATTGATTCATGATGTCCTCACTTTTAATAAGTGGTTATTTAACTTGGAGCCAACTGACCTTACATGATGGTTTACAGATAGGAACATGTTCTTAGTTCTGAAAAACTACATTGACATAAAGACCATTTTATGATTCAGTTGAATTTAGGGATAGACTGCTTTATCTTACTATAGCTTTGCCTCATTGCTAATATTTGTTCACTGCTAATATTCAAATGTTTGTATCAGAGTATTTAGAAAATTTTAACTTTGGGAGACAGAAAAAAATGTACATTTTTGGCTAGATTTTACAATATTTTAAAATATTTACTTTAAGATTGTAATAATTACTTAGTGGTTTTCAGTTCCACAAGTCAACCATTAGGTTAGTAATAATAGTTTCATCCCGGGGCTAGCTCTAATTATCTCCTAATGCAATCTTAATAATCATCAGTTGCTCATAGGACTTTGCCATTTCATAGAGGATATATAGAACATTGCTAACGAGGACTGAGGTGGGACTGGGAAATAAATTGAACTTCATCTAGGAAATAACTAGAGTGTGAGTATGCAAAATTCTGTTTGTCAGGGTGAAAATGGAGATGAAAGTAAATTAGAAATATGTTTCCCCAGCAGGTGAGTGTACCACTTGTTAGGAACCACCTCACTTCCAAAGTCCATGAAAAATGTAGAAAAATGGACTTTGGAAATGGTTACATGCTGGTGGTTCTTAACGGCCTTCTCCATATTGGTGACATACGTAGCTTAATCATTAGTCAAGATATATACCTACCATGCCATTTAGAACAACTCCTAAAATAACTAATTCCTGCTCTGTATCAGCTACTTTACATATATTGTTTTTAATCTTCAGACTAACTCTCCAAAGTAGATTTACAAAGAAACTCAGGGAGGTAAATTCAGTTGCCCCAAATCACATAGCTAGTAAATGGCTGAGCTAGGCTTTAAAAACAGTCTCTGCCTGAAGAACTACTCTTCCCCCATTTGCAGGATGCTTTAGTTACTTCCTCTTTACCCTCTTCAGGCAATGAAATGCTTGCTTCATCGTGCTACTTCTGCTCCTTGTATATGCTTTTTAATTATATTTTTCAGTTGCACTATAGTTTTTATTTGTCTCTTCTAGACTGTGACCTTTTTCGATGTGGAGTCAGTGTCTTACTCACTGAATTCTGGAATCCTGGCATTATAGTATCTGGCACATAGTAAATGTTCAATACATATTTATGGAATTTTAGAAAACAGTCTTGAATATGTATTACTTTGATAGAAATAAGTGTTTAAAAAGTGATCATAACCCTGGCCAGTTTGACTCATTTGTTAGAGCATCAGCCCTCAGACCAATGAGTCTTGGGTTTGATTCCTGTCAAGGGCACGTACCTCCATTGCAGTTCATCCCCCACCCGCGGTCATCGGGGAGGCAACCAGTCGATGTGTCTCTCTCTCATGGATGTTTCCCTCTTTCCCTCTGCCTCTCTCCCTCTACTCTATCTGAAGATTTGTAGAAAAATATCCTCGGTTAAGGATTTTTTAAAAAGTGATAAAAACTAGCTTAACATATTAAAGCCAAAAGTTATGTTGTTCAGCTACTTCATTTTGGAAATATGGAATGTCACATTATTAAAGTGGAGTCACATGGCAGTGATCAGTTACTTGATGATGGAAGTAGGACTGGAACTAATCTTCTTTGACCCTTAGTTCTGTGCCTTTTCCTTTTATTCCACATGGCTTTTTTTTAGGCAGGTCTGTTGGATGATTAATCTTAATCTGTTTAAGACTAGCCTTGTATTTGTCCCAATGAGCCCAAGAATGTGTGATTGGAATTGATTTCTGTCCATCTAATAGAAGTTATTAAAAAATACAAGAATTATTGAATAATAGTGCTTTATAAAATTTTAAGTTGCTTTGCCTATGTCAACATTAGTGATCTATATTTACTATATATTCAGTTTTAGAAATCCTTCGAAGTTTGGGCTGCTGTTTATTTTTTTCTCCCTCATGGAAGACACTAGGATGGGGACTCCATGTAGAGAAGATTAATACCCGGAGACACCCCCCCCTCCCCGTGTCACTTACTAACCATTGCCAAAGTTCTCTTCTGCATCCATCACTTCCCAAAGTGTGCGAATCATAAGATTCCTAAGTTGTTCACTGTGTATAGGTTAGATGCGTCTTTAGCTTACTAAAGCAGAGAAATAAATGGCTTTCTTTCTGAAATAGTTTTTCTTCTTAATTGTTCTAATTACCCTGCCCCCCATCTAAAATGAGGGTCAGTATGTCTCAACTCTTTCAGTTTTATGGATTAAACTTTTTTTTTTTTTAAAGATCTACAGTAAAATGTATTCTTTTGCTTTACCTTTATTTTTCCCAACTTTGTGTTCTGACCTAAATTTGGTTTAGAGAATAATTTTTTACTTAGAAATAGGCAGGATGCCTAAACCCCTGGATAAACACAGATCCAGGCTGGTGTTGAGAAAGGGATAATTGGTCCCTAGGAAAAAAGGCAAAGGCTGGCATTAGGCTTGTCTCCTCTCCTAGTGACAGCACAAATGTGGGAGCAGGTGCTCCCCTCTTTCTATTGGTAATAAGAATTGGGGGGCTGGGAATTCAGACTGGAAGGAAGGTCAACCGTCTCTGTGTGCATCTTTGTATTAAATTTACATGTGCTTATTAAATTTTACTGCATGCATACACACACTATTATAGTTCTCTTTTAAACTTTACAATTACTAAGTCACTTTAGTGTTAATATTGTCAGCAAAAGAGAGAAAGGGGAAAAGCAGCTGGTATCTACTACATGTGTTTGGGAGTGGTCACACCTCATGCTAGTAAAGCCGGCACCTTCCCTCAGCAGCGCTCCCAAGCCAGTTTGCTTCTCTCCCTGTTGCTTTGTGTCCCAGTTTATGGTCAAGTTAGATTCCTCTTCCTAAATGCTCTGTCATTGGAGGTTAATTTATGTAAAGTTATTTCACATGTCCACTTACAGGTATTTAGGTTTTGTAAATAAAACTTTAAAGGCAAGCACTATTTTTCATACTGTGCTGGACTTCAACATTTACTGTTTCTGAAATATGTGCGAAAAAAATCCTGTATTCTTTTGTGGTGCAGAACCAATTAATAAGTGCTGGTATGGTTTGTACTTTATAGGGGTTTGTTTTTTGGAAAGCTGTGTATCTTATTGAGAATGAAGCTACTGTAATTGGAATTTTTATCTTCAAGTTTTTAAAATTTCCATTTCATTATTTTTGAATTATACATCCATATCCTCTGACAATACCAAGCCTAAGGTCCAGATGACATGTTTTAAATATAGAGCAATTTCTGGATAAGTATTGGGACTGTGTAAGCCATGATTTTGACATTTTTTTTTATCCTCATCTGAGGAAATTTTTTCATTTTTTGTTCAGATAGAGTGGGAGGGAGGAGAGAGACAGAGAGAGAGAGAGACAGAGAGAGAGAGAGAGGGAGAGAAACATTGACGTGAAAGG